TTTGAAGAGTGTGTTTGTGAAAGTATATGATTAGTGAAGGATCTTAGAGAAAACTGTGGTCCTTGGCATAATTGTAGATTCTAAAAAATTAATGAAGTCAGCAAACACTAAAAAATGTGTTTGGCTGTGTTAAAATAACCAATTACGGTCATTTATGTAAACAGCTTAACATTTAAGGCCTAATTATCATGTAGCACAAAAACAATTACATATATCATTAAATATGCATCAGATTAACCTTGTTGTTTTGGTTACAATAGTACTCACTCTGTACTCTAAGGAACAGTCTTATTGTTAATTGCTCATAATGCATAAGTCTGTTCACTATTTACATTAGTTAAATGGGACAGAACTGAGTTTGTTCCACATTTGAGGTAAGGCTGGATTACTCACCCTTGATTGCAACTATGCATTTGCACGATGACCTGTGAGACAATGTATACTCTCCTTAGCTTTATATAGTGAAGAAGGTGCTGTGGAAGTTGGCAGCGAAAGAAATTCTGTTTAATTGCTTGATGTTCTGGAAATCTGTAGGTTTCCAGAAGATAGTTTTTGATTCAAATAATGAAAAAAATTCTAATGCTGAGCACTACCCAACCTAGCCTAGAGCAACTTCTAAACAAGCCCCAAGATTATCCTATGGAGCACTTCCAGAATTACAAATTACAATTTATTTGACTCCCATTTTGAACTAGATACTGTACACACATCATCACAGCCTTATAAAACTCTTATGAATTAGGTATCATTATTTTCACTTTATATATAAAAAGAGGTGCTGAAGAATAAAAACTTGTTTAAATTCTTAAAGGTAGTAAAGGGGAGGAGATGGGATTCAAATTCAGGAGAGATTCAAAGCCCATGATTTTTCAGTTATATTAAACTGTGCCAGGTTCCTTACAAATTATATTTCAGACATTTATTAGGCCACTTGTTGGTTGCAAAAAAGTACAGACTGCCTATCATCAAATGATGCAAAATTCTTAAGGAGCCTGTTTTGAAAGTCAAAAGGTGAAGAGCCTACATAACAGGATGAAAAGCATAAAGCCAGGTTTAAAACTTTCCTGATTCATAGGAGTCATTCAACAAAAATACGTTTCTAGTTCACTTAACTTTTTAGATTCTGTCCAAAGCCAGGTGACTCATGAGACAGATATCCTATATTTTGTGTAGACCAAAAAGTCAATGGGGTGAGGAAGAGGCAGAAGAGGTGGGTAACAAAGGCCTGGATTCATGAAAACTACTTAATGGCCACAGCATTATGAAAGTCCTGATATCTTCTAACTCTTTGGTTTTGAAGAGTCACAGGCAGTTCATTAGTTACATTTGGACAGAATTGGTTTTAATTCTGGTTGTGCCACATAGTAACTGAAAGACTCTCTGTACAAGTAGTTTTACCTCTCTGAGCCTCCTGAGTTTTTCATTATTTGCAAAGTGGTATGCAGATTCTGGGTCCTTTGGCAGAAATGCCACCCCCAACCCCCGTTCACCTTTGAGATCTTTAGGGCCCTCTTACTTATGCAGAAGCACCCTAGACAGGCCATTGTGTGGAAAAATAGCTATATGGAGACTTACATTTCTTTAGATTAGCAGAAGTGCTTCAGCCCTTCTTCTGCAGATGGGTCATAGCTGGGAAAGATCAAGTTAAGTAAGCAGTCCAGGAAACTTCTTGAAGAGAAAGGATTTATTCTCTAACTCCTTTGACTAGGGTGGTCACAAAGGGAGAAAGATAGGGAAGAGAGAAGCAAAGAGAGCCAGAAGGAGTAGGGTAATGCGCCTGAATGCAAGAGGCTGCAGCAGAGGCTGAGGAGGCAGGAGCCAGGACGTTGTGAAAGTGCCTTATGTGTGAACTAAAGAGCTGACAGCTAAAAGCTGTCATCTTGGGGCTCAGGCCTTTTGTGGCGTGAAGCCCTCTCTACTGAGTATATCACAGGAAGACTCTTTGCCTTGAAGAGCCCCTGAAATTGGCAAGGGGATCGGCTTCAGGACCTAAATCTCTGGCTAATTTACACTGACTGGGTACATCTCAGAGTTGGAAAGGGAGGAAGTTGAAACTAGAAGGCATAAGTAAGACTTTCAGACTTTGTTTTTATTTATTTGTATAACAAGCTACAAAGAACCACCTCAGTTACAGGAAATAGAAATATTAGATGAGATAAAATGTATAAAGTCTTTCAGCACTCAGGACAAAGTAATTAGAAATGGTAGAATCATTATCACAGGGAGGGAGGCTCAGAAACTGTACTTCTGATTCCAACCACAGCCACTTAGTAGCTGAACAGGACCTGTTGGGATATTTTGGAGTCAGTCAATGGCAGCCACATTACAGACCCTGACAGTAAAATACAATTTTTCTTGCTGGAGTTTCCTTTCAGGTTCAAAAGTCATCCTCGCTTATTAAGAATGTCAAATCTTGTGGAATGTGTTTATTAGTCTGTCCTGAAGGTCAGTCTTCAAAAATATTAGTCCAACATGGACTGATCTTGGATATTATTCATGTAAATATCTTAGAAAGGACAAAAGGCGTTTTTTCCAGGTTCCTTTACAGACATGTTTAGTGAGGGGAGCAACAAGGTACTTAGTCATCTCTGCTATGACAGGTTAAACACAGGATGCACTGAAAGCATGTAAGAAAGCCACTTAACCCAAACTTTGAGGCTTCAGGAAGTGATGTCTAAGTTAAAGTGGAAGTACCATGGCAAAGGAAGCTTGGAAGTAACAGAGTACATAAGGGGAAATGGAGGTACTTCCACCTGGCTGGAGAATGAAGTGTAAGATGGGGCAGTGATGACAAAGAAACAGGAAGATGCTAAACCCTGAAGGGCATTCTACAAAGAGTGACCATATAATCTATTGTACAAATTCAGACACTTCTCTGAGAGTGAAATGAGACATTACTAATTATATGGTGACAACAGGAGTAAATGAGGACTCTCCTGAGCAAATTGGGACTTATGGTCACCCTATTTTAAGACATGTTCAGGTGACTGCACCTCCAGTGAAAGAACAGATTGGATATCTTCTTTATACTTTAGACATTTTGCCTGAGTGACTTCATCCTTACTTCTGGCCTTTACTTGCCCATTTCATAAATTTTCATCCAGGATATATATATACTTCTGGACACTGAGGTTACAAAGAAGAAAACATACAGCGTCTGTCCTCAAGATCTGTATAAAGAAGACACGCATCCAAGGAAACAATTCTAATGTAATTATACAATTTTAGCCCTGGCCTCTCCTTTGAGTTCTAAACTCGTATGCCATTTCCATTCAGGCTGCAAAATATCGATCCAAAACAGAACTTTAAATTTCTCCTCCAAATGTTCTTCTTTCAGCTGGTCTTTGATTTTCCCTTCAGCTGGCCTTATAATTGATGCCACTGTCCACTACATAGCTGAAGGCAAAAACCCAGAAAAGCACTGCCCATTATCAGTGTTATCTTTCCTATCACTGTGCATTTTAATTTCTCCACATCTTTCTTAAGCACAATGAGTAAATTGGGGCTTAGAATTCTAATAAGGACCTAACATCAATTGAAGATGAAGGGTAATTTTCAGGGGCTTGAACGCTGTATTTTTAATGAATAGAGCCCAGTATTATGTGAGATTGTTATTTGACTCATATTGTTTGTTGACGATCATGACATCCAGGTCTGGATATGTGACTTAGCTACTCTCAAAAAATTACAGTTTAGATGAGAAAGACCGTTAAAGGTAAATCCTAAGTGTTTTTATTTCCTCTTTGTGAAGAAAGTGAGAGTGGTTGTAAAGGTGCAAACGAAGAGCTAAAACACTAATGTTAATAAACTATCTGTTGAATAACTGCAATGTTAAAAGGATAATTCATGCTTTAAAGGACAATTTTAATGTTTCTACTATCTTTTCCCCACATAGCTGCCAGAAGGATCTTTTAAAACAAATCTGATCACCCCTTTGCTCTCAAACCTTCCATGGTATTCTATCATATCCCAATAAACCCAATATCCAACCATTGCTTAACAGATGCTGGCTTCTGTTTCCCAACTTATTTCTCTAATCAGCTGTGCTCCAGCCACATTAGTCTCCTTGCTTCTCCAACATGCCAAGCAAGTCCCTCTCGCAAGTCTATGGCAATTGCCACTTCTTTTCCCCTAGAATAACTCCCCTCTAGAAATGCACAGCTGTCTCCCTCATTTAATTAATTTCTGTTTATGTATTCTTCCATTAAGAGATCTTCCTTGTCTATCCCATATAAAAGAACATCCCCATATCACTCTTATAGCTTTAGCCTGATTAATTTTTTCCATACAACTTGCGACAATACCGGGCATTATCTATTTTTCAGTAATATATTATGTATATTGCTTATTGTCAATCTTCCCCACTATTACATGAGGCAGAGACTTTGTTTACTGCTGAATTCCCAGCACCTAGAATAGTGTCTGCTCATTAAACATTTGTTGAAATAATGAATAAAGAGATTTTCAGGATACATTAAGTGTAAAACTACTCTATATTTATTGGTATCATGCATAGGAAAATGGAAGAGTGTACACGAAAATGTTAACTGTTTATTTAACCTGGTGGGAACTAGTTTTCACATTATTTTTGCTCATGCAAATCTTCTGAGCTTTTTTTTTTTAGAATGAACTTGTATTACTCATACACTAAAAAATGAATAAAGAGGCCACACTGGCAGGAAGTGTAAATGCACTCTAAGAGAGGTTGGGTAAAGTCACCAAGGACAGACTTCTAAATAGATGTAACAGCATAAAGGTTAATAAGCGTAACTACGGTTTGAATCCTCATTCCCAACACTTTCTAGCAGTGTGATTCCAAGTTATTTATAAGCCAGAATCTAAATGTTTTCACCTGGAAAATGGGGATAATAATAGTGCCTCCCTCATAAGGCTATTTTGAAGATTGAGACCTGTGTTCAGTGCCTGGCATGCAATAGATATTCCACAAATGGTAGCTATTATAATAATCAGTAGTAGCAACAAGACATGTTGGGACATACCTAGCCCTCAAGATTGACATCAGAGTGGACCACCACATCCTCTCATCATTGCGCCTCAGTCTAGGCCTCTGATGCCCAAAGAGGGGATGATTCTTTCCAAACAAGGTAATTTCGACGTTCCAGAAACATCTGAATAAAAGGTGCCCTGTTACCCTGAAACCGTTCGGTCCATCTGGTTAGTCCATGAGCAGCACTTCCAGACTCGGATTCGAGCGGCGGCCACTCACTGCTCGCCGTCCTGGGGCCCAGTCTTCTCGGCCTCAATTTCCTTTGGGCAAGAGGGGCGGGGTATGGGAATGTTAAAAACACAAAAGCAGGACCGTACCGGCCGGCTCCACCTCAGCGCGCTCTGGAGGGCATCAAACGGCACACGCACCGGAAGCCTCAGGCCACCGGCAACGCGCCTCACGGGAAAAGTGATTACTGGTCGGACTCAGAAGTAGGGCAGGCCGCTTGGCCCCAGGAGACCCTCGGCCAGAGGAGCACGCGGGCGCGTGGCGGGGGCAGGGGCAGGGACGCGGGCCGAGGGGCGCGCGACACACGGCAAGACCACCCTGGAGGTGACGATCTCAGGCTGCCCGCGCGCGGCGTGCGCGCGCTCCTGCCGCTTGGGAGCGAGCACGTCAGCCCAGGGGCGCGCGCGCGGCTGGCAGCTCCTCGACGCGGAGGAGGGGACGCTGCGAGGTGAGGCAAGAAGTGCTGCAAAGCTGGTGGCGGTGGGGCACAGGCCCGTCTAGCGGGACGAGGGGGAGGCGGGACCGAGGTGCGAAGGGGGAGGGGTGGGCCTCCGCCCTGGCGGCGGGGAGATGCGGCAGGCTCGTGTGAGGCGCCGCGCCACGCCACGCGGCGCTGTGGGGGAGGGCGGCGCGGGCCCGGCCCGACCCCTGCGGCTCCGCCCCGCGGCCCGTCGGGCGCGTCCCGCCCTCTGCGTTGCCCTGCGCTGTTCCAGCCTTCGTTTGCTGGTCTGCAAAGGGAGCGTGTAGTTGAGCTAATAACAGCTGCCTTGTGTCATGCTCCTGATCGACATTACCCTTAGAATTTTCAAGTAGACCTTGCAGAGTAGGAATTTCAGCTCCACTTTAGAGCTCAGGCTGACTGAGGCTCAGGTAAAATGACTTGCCCAAGATCATACAGTTACTAACGTTAATAACGAAGTGAGGATTTGAACCCATCTTCAAAGCTCTAAACTCTGCACTTGTCCTCTGCACCACACTTAATGCTGTTCTTCACGGTACTGATCTTCCTCCTCCCAGGAACCTTGAATTTAGCAAATGTTAATGTGTAGCTGGCATCCATTCTTTCATGAATGTTAGTATCAGTTTATTCTGTGTGCTTTAAGGCATACAAATTTGTATTGGATATAGTATTGTGATTGGCAGTGCCAACAGACCCATGTGAGATGTGGATGAGTCAGTTTCCTAGATGAAAGAGGGCTAAGGAGAAAAGTGATGCTGGGCAGAGAAAACCAATAGTTGTTTATTAAAGATATGTAGCCTTTATAGAATGCTTACTATGGGCCAGGCACCACAGGTACATTATTCATATGAACTTTGATGTTTAATCCTCACAACTCTAGTAGGTAGATACTGTATACCACCCATTTTACCGAGGAGGAAACGGACTTACAGAGATAGAATAATTTGCGTAGCATTGCAAAGCTAGGATATGGTTACAGCACTTGTATTATCTTCACTTTATCTTGTCCTTTGAATTATTTCCTGATCCATGTGCCACTTTTGTTTGTTCACAGAGGGTCATCAGACTTTCTTGTGTGTCGGCCAGTTCTGAAATCTTGAAGGAGCTCTGCATTAAGGAAGATCAAAGAAGCAGTCTTTGTAAAGTAGGGAATGGACCGTTTGGGTTCCTTTAGCAGTAAGTACCATGGGAACAAGTCCCAGGTGAATATTAATAACAAACTGAGGTGGAAGTAGTTGATCAGAGAAGAAAAATAGACACTTTGAAGTTAAACAAAGCCCTGTGAATCTGATCTTTAAATGAATAAGTGTCAAATCAAAATAAAATCACCCAGTACTTATTAGATTGCCCACTGAACACGTAACAAATATTTCTTCTAAATAAACTCAGATGGACCAAACATAGTGATTAACCTGCAGTTAGACTTTAGAAAGCAGTTGGATTTCTCTTTAGAATTACTACCATATTTCAGATGGTGTTACAAAAAATAATGTTTGTCATAGAATAAAGAAAAAGCCTCTGTTCCCCTTTTAGGTAGTGCTGTGTTCAAGAGTAAACCACAGTATAATAGTAATAATAATGCAGAGAATTATGGTGCATTTATGAAATAAATTCAGGCACCCACAGCTATGAACTAAAAAACATACTGCTTTTTCTGATTCTGAAGATAAGAGGTTTGGCAGAAATGGAATTCCATTGTTTGATGTTGGTAGTGTCCCAATGAGAAGAATCAGAAAGGTACTTTTTGAGTGTTTCATTTGCAGCAATTTCTTAAAGGGCCTCTAATTTCCTTTCTCATCACACTTCCTGTATGAAGTTAGGACAGAATGGAGTCTGAACACATCTAGTTCAAATCTCTTATTTTACGTATGGAGAAGGGAACTAAATGAATCCTCCTGCTGCTGGGAGTATAAACAGAAACCACTCTCACCCCCGTTTTAGAATAATTTGTGAATTTTTTATTTGGAAATAATTTTAAACTTACAGGGAAGTCAGAAGAATAAGAATAGTACAAAGAATACCTGTATACCTTTGGTTAACATTTTACTGCATTTGCATGTTTTCTCCCCCTCTCCCATTCTTCTCTCTCTCTCCCCCTGTAAATATGTATGTATATATTTATATCTATTTATAGACAGACATATACCCCATCTATTTTTTCAGTATCATTTGAGGGTAAGGGACATATGTCATGGCCTTCTACTTCTAAGAACTTTATTAGTGTTTATTTCAAAAATAGGGATATTCTATTACATGACCTCAGTAGAGTTGTCAACTTCAGTAAATTTAACATTAATAAAATACTTTAATCTACCATCTGTATTCCAGTTTTGTCAGCTGACTCAATAAGGTCTTTGGTGTGTTTTTTCCTTCCTGTATAGGATACAGTCCAGGGTCAGGTCTTATATTGGTTTGCAGTGTCTCTTCAGCCTCTTGATCTGAAACAGTTCCATAAACTTTGTCTTTAGTTACCTGACACTTTTGAAGAATACAGGTCCTTTCTCCTCCTTTTTTAAAATAGAGGTTCCTCATTTTGGGTTTGGTCTTGCTCTGCCCCTCATTGGTGATGTTAATTTCGGAAACCCAGTCCCAAGTTGTCTGAGTTCTCCATTGTCTGATTTCTCTTTTTTCCCTCCCATATAATAGGCTGTCCATAGGGAGATACTGTCAGGTCATAAAATACTGTGCTCCTCATCAAAATTTCTCCCTAGAATTAACATCCTTTATTATTTTTGCCTGATTGAATCTTTACTACAATGGTTGCAAAATCATTATTTTTTTCTGCAAATCCAGCACTCTCTCTACATTTGTTAGTAGCACTTAGCATTCTGTGACAATCAAAAGACCTCCTGTCTCCCTTATTTTCTTACTTATTTAAGTATAGACACTTGAATTCCTGTTTTTTCAATGGTTTACAATTCATTATCATACTTAATTATTGGGAGTCTCAGATTGCCCCAGTATGACCACTGCACTGTAAGCCCCTTCAAGCTGGCTTCTGCATCCTTCGGACATGCTCCCCCATTATTTTTTTGAGCATCTCCTTATTTTCTGCATGGCTACATGTTCCAGGTGCATCTTGTATCTCCCCTTCCTCATCCCTGGAATCAGCCATTTTTCTGAGGAGCCGGGTTCCTTTTAGAGGGAAATGACATTAAAGACTGAGATCTGGTCAGTGCTTATTGCTGTTAGAGTGTCTTTGCATCTTGGCCCTTTTGGCCCACAGAGCTAGGAACTACTTGAGTATATATGCTATATAACAGGCATATACTAATATATATATATGCATTCACATGTACATATGTATATGCATACATATACTTTTTTTAAATCATGAGTTCACATGGATAGCTCCAATTCATCTTTGTAGGCTTTTTTCTTATTCTTTCCCATTCCTTATTTGTATATCCTTTCCTTAGTGAGAACCCTAGCTCCCAATATGAGCATGTTCACTCATTTGCTCAGTCTTTTCATTCATCCAAACTTATTTCAGAATTGCTTTGCATATACTATCACATAAAACAGACCTACTTCAACAAGGTCAAGATTTGTTTGCAATTCCCATGTCACCCAAGATGGCAGGTATATCGTTAAAGGTTAATAAGTTACTTGGTTGATTCTTATTTTTCCTCTTAAGTGTGATTATAGTATTCTTTTGAAATACTGTGGGGTTAATTTGTTCATTTTACTTTCAATTTTACCTTACCATATGTACTTACATTTAAAAATTTGTAGAACATAAATATGCTTCCAAAAGTCAAAACTATAAAAAAAATGTATTTGGAGAATTGTCATTCCTTCCTATCTCTTCCACACCAGTCCATTCCCCCTCCCACAACCCTTTGTAGGTGTCCAACTTCATTGTTTTCTAGTTTATCCTTCCTTTGTTTCTTTCTGTAAAGATAATCAGACATATATGTTTTTAAATTTTTTCCCTTATTTCTTACAGGAAAGATAGCATACTCTGTAAGCCCCTTGCACTTTGTTTTTTTTCACTTAATATCCCCTGGAAATACTATATTGGTTTTTAAAGATTGTTCTCATACTTTTATTATAGTTGCATAGTACTCCATTGCATGATTATACTATAAGGAACATAAATAATGTTCTAATGCATTCCCACTAGGAATATATGAGAATGCCCGTTTACCCACAGCCTTATTAAGAAAGTATATTGTTTTTCATTTTTGTCAGTCTGATTGGTGAGAAATTTATCTCAATGTAGATTTTAGATTTCTCTTAATATGAGTGTGTTTAAGGGCCATTTTTACATCACTTTTTTTTTTTTTCTAATTATTTCTTCATGTCTTTTGCAGTAGGATTTTTGGTCTTTTTTTTTTTCCATTCAATTTTTAAAAGTTCTTTTTATGTTAGGGATTTTAGCCCTTTATCTGGTATATGATTGCAAATAATTTTCTTCCAGTTTATTTGCCTTTTCACTTTGCTTATGGTGCGTTTTTTACCCAGAAAATTTTTCATTTGTTTTGTCTATGCAGTTTAATTTATTAACCTTTTATTGCCCCTGGATTTTGAATGATAGTCTAAGAAAAGCCTTTTGCCACTCCTAGGTTATATATACAAAAGTTCTGGAATACCTTTGTAAAGGATAAGTTGGCTATATGTATCAATAACCCTTTGTACACTCAATAGTGCTACTTCTGGAAAAATATATTTCCTGAGGAATAAAATGTGAAATACACATACAAGAAAATAATTGATCTCAGCATTCTTTATAA